GTTACACTCTAGGGATTGATTCAAGACAAAATAGAAAAGTGGAAAGAAGACTACAAAGCCGTCTACAGTTATGCACCACTTGCTTGAAGTCACTTGCACACACACACACACACACACACACACACACACACACACACACCCTTCTTCAGAAATCACATGGCCGAGCAACTTCAATATCTCAGAGATAACAAATCCTTACAAGGTAACGCGGCCCCACTTGTGCCTGCAGTGGAAGGTGTCTGGCAGGTGGGTTACAGTAATTTGAAATGGTGAAGGATGGAGCGCGGCACCTCCGTTTCAGCCTCCCCGTCGGGGTGATAGAAGTTCTTTTTATGGAGATAACTGTGGGTTGATGGAGCAGCTGAGCAATACCGGGCTTAACGATGACTTCAAGCTGCTGTCGAGAGCGGCTCAGAGCCACTCGAGAATCAGTCAACGCCGCTGACGCCAACAGTCTTTCTTCTTCAACACTCGCTGCCTTCTCCTTTTCTGCTTGTTTGAGTCTCCGCACCCCTCTCACACCAAATCCAGAGCGGGTGTCAAGGACCGGCACTTACCTCCAGCCGCTCACCGGGAACGGTTCCAGTTTATCTAATGCCATTCCTGGCTTCACACTCGCAGGATGCCGCGCTGCCCTGTTAATCATCATTAAAGATTCAGAAAGTGTAGGGAGAAAATAAGTAGCTGTGGAAAAAATGGGTTCTTACCCTTCTCAGGTACTCTTCTATGCCTTCCTTTTGCTGCACCAACAAAATCGCTTCACTGCAAATTTGTTCGCACTCAGTCTTTAAGCATATTTCACGAGATATCAAACACAAATAGAAGCCCGTTGGTACTGTGGAAGGAAAATACTTTTTTAATTGTACATTTTATGTTTTACAAAGGAAACCTAGCATGCATTTATGTTCAGTTCCTCAGACTCTTTACTTTGTAAAACCACCTTTTGCTGCAGCTGCTACTGCATGTCTTTCGGGATGTCTATACCTGCTTTGCATGTTTGAAGACAGATGGTTGAACAATCTTCCCTACAAAACAGCTACAGTTCAGTTATTCTGGATGGAGAGAATCTTTGACCATCAGCTTTCAATTCTTGTCAAAGATTCTTTGAATTTTTTTGAACTCAGGTCTGAATTGGACCTTTCTCACGCACTGATCCATGATGTTGCCCCTCCAACAGAACGTTGGGCCTCTGCTATGGGCCTTTCAGCTGCTTCCCTGATTGATGCTCTCCTTGGCTGCGCTGTCAGTTGGGGTGGATGGCCATGACTTGGTGGCTTTACTGCTTTCTTTCCATTATCAGATGATGGATTAAATGGTGCTCTGTGAAATAATCAAAGCATGGGATACTGTTTTATAACCTAACACTGCATTCAACCTTATAGCTTTATCCTGGACCTCTTGTGCAGTTTTCATGATTTGTGTGAGACTTATCCCGAACAGCTCTATTTAAACTTCTGTTTATAAGTTGTTTAATGTCTGAATCGCTCACAGTCGGTTCGATTAAAGGAGATAAGATAAGTGAAGGTTGAATGCATTCACATGCCAAACATTTCAGACATTCATTCTTAAGCCATCAGTCTGTTTTTCTTTCTTTTTACGGTTGTGCAACTTTGTGTTGGTCTGTTACACAAAATCTTGAAAAGAAAAATGCATCAAAGTTTGTGATGGTAGCTTAACAAAAACGTGAATAACTTCGAGGGTTTTAAATAGTTTTTCAGGGTACTGTAAAACCTCTATAAAATTCAACAGTGAGCAAGCCTGAAAGACAGTATTTCCTCTTCTGTTATTTAATTAAGGTTTCTCTGACATATCTTTGTTTATGAGCAAGAATTGTGACAGCTCAACATGGCAGATGTCTCAGTTTAGACAATCCCCTTATGTGTAGTCAACCCTGCGTCTCGGCAGAGCCTCCAGTGTCCTCGCTCGTGAATCAGATTCACTGATGTGGAACTCAGCTGGCTGAGATGCTGGAGGGCATGGGGAGAAGGGATTTGCTCCTCGGCTTAGTCGTTTCTCTGTGCAGATTCCTACTGGGCCCAGAAAGGAGATTTAAACTTATATGCTCTTTCAAATGGGGGCGCGCACGCTTACACTCACGCACAGCTCTTCTTCTTCTTTTTGGAGGATTTACAGTGAAGCAATTCTTTCTCCAGGCCTTAGTCCTCCTCTCATACCTGGCATTATAAAATGATTTAAAAAAAAACAAACTGTGCAGCAAAAGCACAGCAACAACTGTTTCTCTCTGTGCTACTCTATTAAAAATATATAATTATATGTATATTCACAGATATAATGCTTTATAATTACCCTTTACACAGACAAATTCATTGTACCTCAATACAATTATTAGAAGAAAATACAAACTATACAAATACAAATGATCTTAGTTGTATCGGTGGATGGGAGCACAAAAATAAACTGAATTAAAAACCTTTTTTTACTCTTCTGTTAAATTCCCATCACGCACTTCAAGGTATTGTACTGGAGTTTTACAAACCAATGGAAAGAACGACTTACTTGTGAAATGCAGGACAAACATTTCAAGGCTTTAATTTCTTTTTATCATTAAAAGTCAGAAAAGTGTGGCGTTCACTGGTATTTAGTCTCCTAGTGACACAGCCTAAAAATCCTTCATATCTTCTCTGTCACAGCTAATCTTTTCTTCCAAAGTACCTAAAATGCTGCCACACAGTGACTGAACAGAAGCAGTGTCCTTTCAATCCTTTTGTGAATAACTGACACAAAACGTACTTTCTTGTTTGCTTCAACATAGAGACGGGTTGCAAAACTTAAGTCACTCACCTTTAACATCCAGAGCCCATGATGACAAGAGGTGGAAGTTTCTTCATGAGACACACATGACTTTTGACGGGTAACGTAGTATATTTCTTTATCCTTAGTAAGCATACCAGCAAAGGCTCTAATGAAGTAAAAAAAACAAACAAACAGATACGCATACACCGCCACAGCCAGGCTAAATGTGTAAAATGCGTATTTGAATTTAATCTCACCTCACACAGTCTATCTGGGATCCACAGAATCAAACCCAGAAAGAATTTCTGCACTCAAGAGAACAACTGGTCCTCACAAAGTTGGTTTGTAAGATAGAAAAGGTCCCAATAAGAGAACAAAAATGGTGCAGAAGCACACAACACACACATCTGTTTCCCTGTCATCAATCTCCCAACTCCACCTAGGTTGTTTTGAAAGTGATAAATTCAGCCATTTAATGTCCATAATTAATAATTTATTACGCGCAGTGCACTGCAGATTAGGTAGTATTTTATCTGGTTGATAGTTGAACCCTCCAAGGTCATTCCCAGTGTTTTTCATTATCAAATCCCGATGCAGCTGCTCACTGACTAACCTCTCATTAGACTGAATGACGGCGCTGGGAGGGAATAAGATATAACCTCCTGAGCAAAGCTCTGTGATGCTTGTTTACTATGTTTTTTGTCTAATTATGTCATGTGTGAGGACCGCCATATGGTTTCAGACAGAATATGTTCCCACGGTTGGTGAAGATCCAGATCCCAGAGAGGCGAAGAATCTATTTAAAATGTGTGAAAAGGTGCAGTCCCTCGTCACAAAGAGAACAGACAGAAATGAGCTCCAGCTGAATCTTTGTTCTCGAAATAAAAAGTAAAAAAAAAAAAAAAAAAAAAGAGCAGAAAACTGCCCGCCTCCGCAGTTGACACGTAACTGAATATGTAAATGATTAAAAATATATATTAGCACTTGCTATTTTTAGTGTTGCAAGCTGTTGCAAAGCCACTCATCAAAAAGTTAAGCAACTTAGTGATGATTTCCACTGAAAATAGACAGTAAAGGCTTCCCTCGGCGTAGGAAACTGACTTATGTGGACTTATTTTCCCTTTTTCTCATTTTTAGTGAATAAATGTAAGTGAACCAAGTTATCTTGCTGTCATCCCCCCACTCTGCTTTTCCTCCCCACGCCTGTCTTTTTTTTTCTCTCTCTCTCTGTGTGTCTCTGAAATACACACAGACTCTCTCGCACAAAGGAGGAAAAGTGTCACTATGGAAACAAGGAGGCGAGAATCTAAAAGCTACCTCTTGAGACGAGAGTTAAGACAACAAAAGGAGTCCACTGTGTGAGTGGCAGAAAAGCGGCAATGTACACAGCATCTATACTTCTCCCTCCTGTTCGGATGCTGGGTGTACCATCATCAGGCTGCCTTGTTGGCCGTTTTGCCTCCAATCCAGCTGGTTTTAGCCTTTACCAGACTGAGCGTATTCTCCTGCATTACAGTTTTATTTTTCTCCCCCTGCAGCTGAATGCATGTTGCTCTGTGCGGGGCTCTCTCTGTTTGCGTGTGTGCGTGTGTGTGTGGCTTAGGTTGGGTTGAGTGTAATATGCACCACACATTTCTTTAATAGGGCTAATCCATTTTAATCCCACCTGCCACAGTTACCTTACAATGATGAATGTAAGCCTAAATGAGTTGAGACACAGAGAAATGCCCGTGGGAGCCAGAGGAGGAGGCTGGGAGGTAGATTTGAGTCTCTATATGTGTGTGTGGTTTTTTGTCTTCAGAACGTGTGTGTGAAGTTGTGTTTTCTGTCCCCCCTACCCCCACCCACCCCTTACCTCCCTCCTCCTTCCCTACTCTGTTGAAGGCTATTTTCTCTGGGTCTGCAGGGTCACTGCTGTCTTTAGTGATGTCTCCTTCAGCTGTAATCAGCACCACGGACAGCAACACCAATCTCCACAGATGCAGGCATCACAGCAGGCATCCATCTCAATACACTTAAAAGTGGCTCCTTCTTCTTTTCTTTTTTTTTTCTCCTTCCTACTGATCTAAAAGAATTGGATAGGTGAAAGTGGACTGCCCATTAGGCTCTGATCGGAGATGCAGAGAGGAAGTGGAGAGCAGTAATAGAAAAAAAAAAAAAAAAACTCGGTGTAAAACTTCTGACAGGTATGTTTCTTCTGTAGGGCTTTATTACAAGCAGTAAAAAAGAAGAAGAAATTCAGCTGTAATTAATAGTGTAGCCCCCGTGAGACTCTTGTTACTTTGCATAAAGCCAGAGTTTTAGTGTGGGGTCATTCACCTGTGGTGGCTTTGAAAAATAGCAGCAATAATACAACCCAAAAAAAGAAAAAAAAAAGATAAAATAGTGGAGAAAGGGAGGGAGAGATGGGAGGAGTATAGTACTGTACGGAGTGTGAGGGTGGGAGAGATGGGGAGAGTGAAACACACACACACACACACACTCACACGCACAAACACACAGAGAGGGTGCAGATAGCGGGAGGGGAAAACCTCCTCTCTGAAAGGGATGATGTCAGTCTCTGCAGCTGAGCCCCAGTTCCCGACTCTCTCTGCCTCCTGAAAACACACTGGCAGGCTGATCCACAAAGAGGGGAGGAAGGGGAAACTTCGAGGGGGAGAGCCCCAGCGACAGAAACCCCCGCAGGTACGTATGGCACATTATCACCCGCCAGTTAGTGCGGTCATTCACTGTTATTTTGTCTCCTGCTGTTATGCTTTTAACTGCTGCGAGTGGCTCACCTCTTCAGGGTGCTATCTCTGTTTTCACAATGTGTCACAGCAAACCTCCAAACAGGGGTGCGCTGAATGTAGACTTCTGCGTGTCAGTGAATGTTTGTGCCGGTTTCTGTTTGTCGGCGTGTGAATATAAAAGGGAGATGGATGGAAAGTTTTCTTTCTTTCTTTTTTTTTTTACTGAAAGGAAAGGAAAACACTGGTTAAAAAAAATCAGATCCAGTCGGATTAGAAGATGAGGATTTATTGTGCACAGACAAAGCAACAAAACTGTCCATAGGGTGTTTGTTATAGAGCTTTTCCTCTGTTTTAATTACGGATTTGTTTGGTTAAAATAATGCCTTTTGAGACATCGGTGGTCCGACAGGTGACATAGCTGTGGTGAGTCATCCCATAACATCTGCCACTGACACCTCTGCTTCCCAGTTTACTTATGGGATGATGTTATAGTGTAATCTGGTAATTAAAATATCCAATCACACACTCTCAGGCAGTCCAAAGTGTGTGTTGTTTGTTGCAACAGGAAAATTGATTTCCTGTTCCTGGGATTAGTTTATGAATGTCACCATCAAGCCAGACAACAACGTCTGCCGGGTCACATTGAATGCACAGAACAACAGCAAGAGATGACATTGACAAAAAGGTGTGCATTGTTCCTTCGCTCCATCTGATGATTGCCCTTTTGGCCATCAGATTAAGAAAAAGCAGGTCCAAGCAGCCATCTATTTACACACTCGGGCTGTTGGCACGTCACTCAATTAGTCACAGTGTGGATTACACTCCACGAGGGGGGCTTGAGGAGAAAATCACAGTGGAAATCCAATTTTGTGCCACATCAAATGTCAGGTTAGCCACCTCGGATCCTCTGTGATGGATACAGACGAGTGTGGGAGAAGACGAGGCAGTGCGTCTCATGGGAGGGAGATGGGGATGAAGGTTATAGTGGGAAACCAAATCAGACTGGTGTCTGAAGAGAGTGGTCCAATGCAGATCAGTGTCCCGGGTGCCTTCCAGGACAGTGAGAAAAAAAACAAAAAAAAAAAAACATTACGTCAGCTGCCATCTCAAATTTGGTGTTGCTCAGTTAATCATCAAATCAACTGGAAGTTGGGACCGCTGTGTTGCAGCCGATGTAACTACATGTGTCCTTGCATGCTGGTTCTCTAATAACTGGAAGGTGGATCCAAAGCTAATCCATTGGTGTGTTTCAGTTGTGTTTTAAAGAAATCTGAATTGCCTTTGACTGTCTGCACAGGTAGATATCTGAAAGGCTCTGACAGTTGAATCTTTTCACAGTTAAAACAAGTTCTTGAAAACACTATTTTTTTGGTATGCGGAAACGTGAACAATGAAGACTTTCTCAAAATATTATCAAATTTGTCCTATTTTCTTTATTAGATAAAGAAATTGTTGAGGATATTTCAATTTTTTTCTTTTTTATTTCTCAATCAGTTCCAAATAGATAATTAAAAACACTATAAGAAGAGAAAGTGTGCCAGGTCCAGATCAGTGAGATCATCTTCACAGAAATAAAATAGTAAAATTAGAAATATCAAGAAGGAAAAGCTTTCTATTTATATTTGCACATAGAATCTTTTGTACTTTTAAAATACTAAAAAAAAAACAAATCATAGTAAAACAGACTAAAATGTTTGCAAATACAGCTTGTGGAAAATAAAGATATCTGCGTGGTGCAAACTTTTTCCTTCTAAAATAGTAGCATGTCCTCTGTGATGCCAGCAGCTCTCTACACACCTGCTGCTGTTTGCTGTGTTGCACTCGCACTAAAAGCCTTTCATTTGTTTGCGCAGCCCTTTGCAAAAACCACACCATTTATTTCTGTAAACCTGGAACATCGACACAGGTACTTTTAGCCATTGTGTGCAGCCTGTTCGCTCCCCTGGTGCTGACTGAAATGACAAATGGTCGAGTTGATAAAGGCTCTGTTGGCAGGAAGAGACCACGACTTCCTGGAGAGAGGCCATTCATTCGAGAATCCAGGGCCAGCTTTAGCATTACTTTAAATGTATTTTCCGAGTACTGGCATGGGGCGCCTCCAGAAAGTTTTGTATGGGGATGCCATATCAGGAGGGTGGAGGTACATTGATCGGTCTTGAAATTGAGTTCCAATCGAAAAAAGTAAAAAAAAATCCCTCTTGTTTTCAACTACCTTTTTGTCAAAAATAAACCGATTTGATGTAATTGAAGACGCATGTTTAACCTCTAATAGATTCTGCCTCTTTAATTTTAAAATACTTTATCTCTCTTCATTTTTTTTTACATGAATATGTGGAATATGATCTTTAAAGTGCCAGAGGCTCAATAGAAAACAAAAAAGGAAGTTATATAAATGCTGCTTCTTATTGAAGCCATTCGGTTTATCTCAACATTTTATGCATCAAAAAAAAAATATTGTATGGATATAACAAGACTGTCTGGTTTGTCCTCCATGGTGGCACCCATGCTTAGAAGTCCATTTTTGTTCTTGCTATTCACACTTGTTGACTTGAATTACAATGTAAGTCCAGGGGATGTGAGAGTGTTTTAACAAAATGGCAATAGAGATCGAATAGAGATCGTAGACTAAAGCCTCCAAAAGAAACATTCACATCTTAACCAAACTTTCTGTTGCTGTTGCACATGACCACATATCTGTGGGTTGCATGTTTCAGTACATATTTCAAAGAACCTACATCCCTCCCAATAAATAGGAAAAGGTGCTGCTCCCACCCTATGTTTTCCTGATTAATTACTCATCAACATCCTTGTGCTAAGCATAAATGATTACAGACATCAATATCCGCATTTGTTGCGACTGACCTCCCTCGCCCATATGTGTGGAAAACTGGATGCTCACTCGTCCCTCCTGTTTTGGTGCAACAAATTCTTCCCCATCTTTCTATCTGGTTATCTCCCCCCTGCGATTGCTAAAGCCTCAAATCCCCAGGAGAGGCGACCCGAGTGGCCTCTCAGCCCACGTGTCATTACCGCTGACCAGCAGCCCATCTCTATCTGCCCCTGATCTCGTGACCTCCCTGAGAGGCAGCCAGCAGCACGAGACAGGGGGATACAAAGTGAGGGAATGGAGATGGATGCAGAGAAATAGGCGGATGTCTGGAAAAAGAAGTGAAACACTGAAAAAAAAAAAAAAGCAGTTTCAGTGAGATAAAGGGAGGCAGAAGATAATGGGGAGAGGCACGGGGAAAAACGGGAAGAGGGAATGAGATACAGAAATGGAAATTGATGGTGAGGAGGCAAGAAAAGCGAGGGAGAAGGGAAGAGCGGGAAAATGAGGGTGGCGGCTGAGGAAAATAGATGCGGAGAGAAACGGCAGAGAGGGAGGGAGAGAGATGAGATGCTATTTCAAGACCATACTTACTGATAATGTCACTCTACTTCAAAGTGCAAAGCGCTCCTGTCATGCTCCTGCATAACTGTGCCTCTGGAGAATTTCCCTCATATATCAGATGATAAAAAGACGCCTGACAGTGGGGTGTGTGGGGCTCCCACTCACTCTGTGGGGCACATTCTGGGCTAAACTTTGACAAAACACACTGAAGTCTCTGCTTTAATTCTCTCTTCATCAACCACAGCTCCTGACCAGACGGACCGCGGTGGGCGGGGGGGATTTTCACCAGCGCACAAAGAAGAAGCAGGGGGACGAGGTTCAGGTAAAAAAAAAAAACAAAACAAAAAAAAAACAGGTGCAGACGCAACGAATATCTATGAAAGCATAAAGGCTTTCATCTTTCTTTAATCAATAATAGAGTATGATCATTGGGAAGGTAGATGGAAAAGGTAAAAGCAACGTTTCCTTTCAGTTTCACACAGTTGACATGTTAATCACAGGCGTTCGGCTTGCACTTCCTGATGGCTGTGACGTCACTGAACTCATCAATCATGCAGCCTTCCGGGCATCGTGCTCACAAATGAGTCCTTGACTTGCCAAGATTCCTGTGCTGTGATGTATTTTAATCCCAGCCGCCGAAAAAAAAAAAAAAAATGAACCGTGGATTCTCTGAAGAAGCAGCGAAACGGAACTTTTTTTTTTTTTTATTCAGGCGACATGGCATACTTCTTTCTGCATATTTTTGCTCACATTTCTACCACACAGAACATGTTGATCAAGCTGTTCAGAGCACACTCATATTGATCAGAAGGAGATCAAGCTGCTTGTGTATTTAAACGCCTTATTTGTGTAATTACGCTAAATCTAATTATAATCCACGGCTAGTTATTTATTTTCTAATTATGGTGTAAACCTGCATTCAGATGATTCACAGCAGTAGTACCAACAGACGGCTGTCCATGCTTTCCCTCCATTTCCCTTCCATTCAATATTGTCAGGGATTCAAAAAGCGGTTGTACCCAAGACAGGGATTGAGAACTAAACAACTCAACATTTGATGCTTTTGTTGCAAAGCGCAGCAGTTGTCTTTCAACGCATCAGCAGATTTGCAGCAACATGTCGACTGATATCAACTGAAAGTCACCAAGGTATGTCAAAGTAATCAGGAAAGGCTCCATAAAAAGCCATTTTCAATTAGTACAGTGCCAGTCAAAGCTTGAGCGCCCAATTAGACGCATGCAGGCAGCCAGTTTTTGTCTGTGAAAAAGCAGAATAGTAATTCCCTGATTCATTACTGATTATAATATTTTTAGGCTGCAGAATGAAACGGGGCACTGTGCCTCATTTCAGGAAAAAAAAATCCTCCTAAGACTTCTTTGGGAATTATACAGATTCTACAAGAAATAAATAAATAAAAAAAGTAATTATCCCTTTGTTTCTAGATTTACAGAAAGCTGGGCTGAGCTTTTCCAAAAAATGCTCAAGAACAGATAATGAATCAAACTATCGCTGGCCACATTTGTTGAAAAAAAAAAAACATTTATATATATATATATATATATATATATATATATATATATATAATCAGTAGTGTTTTAGAGTTGTGTGGTGAGCATAAATGGTTTATTTTGATTTGATCAATGACCACTAATGTTATCTTTTTTTTTTAGATGAGTAAAGTTGTCTTTTACATGATTGCTTTCTTGCAGACCCTGTGCGATTTCACCTCTGATGGAAATAATAACCCATATCAGCAGAAATTTGCCAAGAACCAAAAATCAAATATTGGAAATATTCTGATCAAATACACATAAAAAAGGATACATGCAACATTTCCATATTTAATTTAAAGGAGGTGTTAAAATCATGTGATTTCTGTGTGAGTCGTTATCTCTGCAAAAAAAAAACAAAAAAAAACAACAACATCCTGACAGCTGCCTGAGAAGAGCGGGAGTTAATTTATATCCTTAGTATGCTGTTCATGACTTTTACTGGACCGTAGCAAAAGGTCAAAATGTAACATACCTGCCCACCTTCTGTTGAGAATTTCAATGTAACCATCCTGGAGAGACTTTGATAACATGTATAACTCTGTAGAGGAGCAGGCAGGAACCACGGCATAGGCTTGTTTTATTACCTGCTGTCACATGACCTTTGTGGCTTCTGCCAAACTGCTATTTCCACTAAAATTAATTAAAGAGTAATTTGAGCAACACTGTGTTTTCCTCACACTGACTTTGCATCAAGACTCAGATGGATGGCTACATTAGCAGAAAACACCAGATTGGTAATAATGCAAATGAGATCACCAATCGGAAACGATAGCAATTACATCATTTTTTTTGTATTAATGTATTTTGGTGAGTGTGACAATGGTTCTTGCACTTGGACATGTCATGTAATGCAGAACTCAATTTCTTATTAAAGCATGATTCAAAATTTGTTATCCAAAACTGAAAGTTCAATGTGAGGTCCTTATTTTAGAACTTCAACAATTTAATATGAATCTTAAAAATATATTTTTTTAAATAAGGAGAAAAACTAAACAAGTAAATACATTTTTGAGAAAGAAATGCTAAATGAAATAAAACCCAAAAACTTTCTTTCATAATTATAAAATGTAGCAATCCATTTATGAAAGTTATTTGTTAGATAAAACATATAGCAAATTTGTTCATCAGTACTTTTTGTTTTTCAAAATAAACGTGTTCTATACTTTTACAAGCATAAAATGACAACTTCTTTTTTATATTGTTTCTTCTTTCTTCTATTCTCCTCAGGTCTCGTGACAATTCAGGAATAGGAAGATGTGAGACTCTCCTCCTCCATGTTTGCAGTCTCTGAGTTCTACATGCAAGCCATGGTGTAATATGGCTTTTTATTCCTATGTGAGGATGAAAAATATTCATGTAGGAATAGAAGCTGTTTTACATGTGGTGAGAGAGCAGCGCAACACAAGTGAGAGCCGCTGGCCGCTCACGGAGACAGATGCACGACTGGATAAATGTATCTGTCTTCTATTAAATGCTTCCCTGTAGTAAAAAAAAAAAAAAAAAAAGGTACATTTTTGCTCATTTTTCAAATGACGAGTTAACTCATTGATGTTCTCATCTGAGAGAGGGAGAAAGAAAAAAAAAATCAAGTCAGACTTTGTTTTGTGTGCACCTGTTTTTTTGCCTCCAGGCACAAGCAGCTTCCACTGCTTCGGCTGTTTGATGCATTTGGTGACAGATGCCGTCCGCGGGGAAGCAGGAAACATTTGCAAAACATTTCAAGAACAAAGGAGCAGAAGAGCGATAAGAGACCAATACAGATCTTTAATAACAAACTGTAAAACAGGCACTTAGTGAACCACTTTACAACCTGCAAGAGACACGCAGTTTCCCTTTCTTTTCAATGTCATTCATTTTGCACATTATTAAAATAAAACTTTGTCATGAAGCATTACATCAAACAATATTCTACCTACAATACTATACAATGAAGGTACATACAGTATAAACAAGATAAAGCACCTTTGTTGTCCAAGTAAATACTATTAATAATTAAACATTTGGAGTTACGGACACAGATAAATGAGTTTGTCATTTGTGTGTGGTATTATCAGTGCATGGAAAGAACTCCAAATACAGGTCCAGGGACTGCGATGTCCTCATCAGCACCTGAGTTTACGTGTACACCAGAAGCTGTTGTAAGTTTTGAGTTTTTTTCTGCCTACATATGAATGATTTGGTTTATACAGTATGTTCAATAAAGTAGAAAAAAAAAACAAACAAACAGTTGGCTGTATATGTTGTAATTACTACAGATCTCCCTTCTGAGGACATGGACGTTCACATTACATTTAAACAACATGTAGCACCAAGGTGTTTATACAAAAGCCTTAAAATAATGAATGTCAACTTAGTACAGTAAAGTGTAAAAACAATACAAAATGAAAAGGTTGGAAGCATGTACGCAAGGTGCACAAATGTCCAAGTAAAGTACGGCACAATTTGGTCCTTTAGCAAAAAAAAAAAAAAAAAAAAAAAAAAAAAAAAAAAAATGTAACTTCTGTAAAAACGGAGATGCGTTACTTAAAAAAAACATTATTTTACTTTGTTTTCAAGTATACTTTTTATTTTTTTTTAAGTCTCCTTTATGCAAGTGATGTTAAAGTCCCCAATGAAATATTTAGTTTCTACCTGTCATTTGTCCTCACATTTGTGTAATAAAAAAAAAAAAACATGTACATAAGAAGACATAAAGTGACTACGGAAGTAATTAACGGTAGTATTTCACATAAAACAGCTGTGCAATTTCATTCACCATAATGACTTGTCTTAAACAATTATAACTGCAAAAATTTACAGACTCTTATTCACAGATCCCCATCCCGCCCCCTCAGTTTATAGATTCGGATGTGTCCTTCCTCAAAGGAATCTTAAAGCTGGTGAGTTTTTGACCAAACAGCTGACTCAAAATGTGGTTCTGCGACTCTGCTGTCCGGTAAGAGTTACTCTCCACTGTCCTGACCCCCATCTTTGGCCTTGGCTTATTTAAAGAATTGTTCATTGGAACTGAAGGCACTTTAGACACAGGAGAATGCACAGATCTCCCAAGAGGTCCCCTTTTGGCTTTGTTCTCCGCGTTTTGAGGTGTAACGGTGTCAGGCTTCTTTGGCGTGCAGCTTTCAAGCAAACCTCTTTTTGCCTGTAAGCTCAAGTTTACATTCTTGCACTTGGAAATTATTTTGTTGCTAACAACATCGTCCCGTACAGAGGAGAGCACGGGATACTCGTTGGCTCCGTCCAGCTTCCTCTGCAGCGAGGGGTTTGCAGACTTGCTCTGACGAAATTTCTTCTTGGGTTTAGAGTCAACACCAAAGTTCTCTTGTGTGAAAGGCGAGGACACCCTCTGCATGTTGTTTGTGGATTTCATGTCCTTCCTTCTCTTCTGTGGTTTCACCAAGTCCTTGTCGTCGGTCGCAGCCGATGCTAGAAGGGAAACCTTGGATTGAGGGGCCACCGTTGCTTCCGTCGTCTTTGCACATCCAGCTCCAGTGCTGGTTTTAGTGTTTTCTGGCGTTGGCGCTGGAGTGGCATTATTTTTCATCTGACTGCTACTTTCTTGCTCAGCACCATGAGATAATGCCTGCTGTTTAGTGTCATTACAAGACAATGTGCAATGCCTCTGCTCATCATCCCCCTGCTGCTTTAACTCATCAACAGCTAATTCTGCAGACTCAGGTGTCTGCAGAAAAATTTGATTTTCTGTTGAGCAGACAGAAGAGTTCTCAAAAACTGCTGGAGGCAAATCTGTTTTATCTTTAACTACCTCCTTCTCCCCTGCCATGCTACTTTCTTTAGATGCTGCCCATGAAGTTCCTTCTGCTCTTATACAAACGGATTCATCCTCTTCTTTCACATCACACGATTTAGTAATCAATTTCCTGTCATCCTCCTTCTCCAGGTTAGGTAGCAGAGTCACATCAAGTTCCTCTTTCTTGGGTGTCGCGGACCTGGATGAGCTCAGATGAACGCAGTTCTCCAAGTCTTCAAGCAACTGAGAGCAGTCTGCAGTAATATCCTCCGTCTTCACATTCGCGTTGCTTGAATCGTCGTGGTATTCATTCGGGACGGTCTGAGTGGAGTCATCAGTTGTGGGCGCGCAGGGCTTTGAACACTGTGTGTCAGCGTTCTGGTTTAAGTGTAGTGAGCTCAAACTAGCGATGCCGCTGTCTGAGCTGTTTTCTTGCAGACTGTCAGAGAGAAGCCTCTTCTTCTTACTGGCTGGTGAGTCGCACTCGTTTTCTTTGGAGGCGGATGCTTTGACGGGTCTGAGGACGGCTCTGAATTTGAAAACTTTATTCCCCCCCGACAGGTGCTTCTCCATGTGACGGTCAAATTGCTCTTTTTTTGAGAATGTGTAGTTGCAAGTGCTGCAAATGAACGACTTTTTAATCACATGCATGACGTCTGCACAGAGCTCACAAGTGTAAAGAGTCGTGTGCTTCGAATCCAGGTCGTCCACCTCCTCATGAGCTCTCCTCAGATGCTCTTTGAGGTCCTGGGCCTCCTGGTAAGAAACGGGGCACTTGTGGCACAGGAAGATCCTTTCCAGGTTGTGCACCACCAAATGCCTCTGGAGTTTGAAGGGTTTGGGGAACTGTTTTCCACAGTGGTGGCAGTCTCTTGAAGGATCTTTGCAGTTGGGATGCATCTCCACACTTTTCGGCGTCTCTGTTTTGTGGAGTACCTCGATTGGGGTTAAAGTGCTTTGTTTTCCGCCTCCTCCACTGCTTTTAGTTTTGTGTGCCCTAGTCTCAGCCCCCTCCAAGGTTTTTCCTTCTCCTGCCACTGCTTTTTCCTGTTCTTTAGTGGCTTTGCTTGACTCTCTGTTGGCTTTGCTGGGTCGCTGCTGCATGATCGAGGATATAAAGTTCTTCACGGCCGTTTCCTGCATGAAGCATCCAGAAATACCAAGCATGGAGCCTTGAGACTGTCCTCTCCTGGCAAACTGAGTGGCGTGTTCTCTTAAGTGTTCATTGTACATCCAGACATCTGAAATCTCCTTCAAACACATTCCGCAGGTCCAGATTCCTGTCTTATTTTTAGCGTGCTTTTCCCTCAGGTGGTCTCTCAGCTGCTCTCTGGAGCTGAACTTGCGCTGCACGCACATGTAACAGGTGGGGGGAGGGGATGGGTTGTGGGACAGCTTATGGAAGTTTAGCTCTCCGAGGGTGAGGAACCAGGTAAAACACACTTTGCATTTGTACTGCTTGTCTTTGACTTTAATCCCTCCGTCTTGTCGCTTCCTGCCTCGCCGCTCTGTCGCTTTCCTGGATTTTTCATCCTCTTTTCCATCTGCATCTGCAGTCTCAGAAAAAGGAGCCACTTGGGCATCTTTTTCTGAGTCCAGATACTGTATCTCCGGTAGCTGAAATGTTGTTTTGATGTTTTGTGCGCCGATGGCTTGGAAGGACTGAGCACCCTCCGCAACATGCGGCTCTATCGTGCAGGGAGTTGCTGGCAGAGGCTCTTCATGTTTGCAATCGCTAGGTTCAGAGGTCACTACTGGGCAAGATTCAAAGCCAGTGAAGTCACTGGATGAGCTCCATTCAGATGTAGATTTACTGACAGTGCTTTCAATTAGATTCAAATGATTATTTCCAACCTCACAAACATCCTGCTGAATGTTCTGATTGACATCTGGCACCGGATTGTTGTCGGCCTTTATAGTGCTGTTGTGACACATGTTCAGCATGATGGCATCGTCAATTGAAATGGTCTCATATTCGCAGCGCTTGCTTTGATGGTCAGTGACGGTCTGCATGCTGTGGGGTTCCACGTATTGGTCTTTATTTTGTATGAAAGTTTCAGCAGGAAGGTAATCTGCAGCCGCGTCTGAAGGGATTGATAATTTCTGTCTCTTGTTTCTTTTGCCATACACTCTGGGACACTTTTTCCTCTTAGTTTCCTCGTCTCTGGGAAATAGCTGTGAGAATGTGGTGTCGTCGTCGAGTATGGCCCTTAAATCTGAACTGATGCCGGGCGGACTGGGAGGGGAGGAATTCAGACAGGAGGTGGGATTTAGATTGTTGGTAGGGCATTTCATGTCTGTTGAAACATTTCTAAGAACCTCCAAGCCAAGGCTGTCCTTGGCTCCTTTTGATTCGGTCTCATTGGAATCTCCAGTGATCTCCTTCTCTACAGATGCACTTTCCACATTACTTTCTGCATACGTCTCTATATATGCCATTTCTGTCACCTTTGTTTCTTCAAGCTGATTGTGCGCCACAGTTTCATTCATCTCATTTGGCTCTTTAGGTGGAGTTTGGTTCGTGTTGTTATAAGTGTCTGCAGCGGCATGGTGAAAGAACTCTTCGCCAAGAGCTTCTGGGGCTGCTCTTTCACCGACTTTAACCTCAGGGCATTTGTTTTGCTCTTGCAGAGCACTGCTCTTAAATTCGGGAGTTATGGCTTGAAGTATGTCTGTTTTTAATATTTTCAGGAGCTCGTCAGAGAAGGGGTCAGGATTCAGCTCACTGTTCTTGTTCTTTCTTCCTTTGTTGCTCTTCTTTGCCTTTGCCTGCAGTGG